ATTCCTGCATGAAAAATCAGATTTCATACTCTGTGCTTTCTGTCACTCAACTGCCTATTTCTTATGGACCTCATTTTGTCTATATTTATATATTTGGGGAGTTGTTTTTTTTTTTAAATCTATTTGCTATAACTGAGGCAAAAATCTTTGTGTCTTGGCTCACTAAAGATATAGGTCTGTATGAGGCACAAGTAGATAGAACCTTAACCTGTTTTGGGGACTACTGCAATATGAGGTATTTCTCTTTTCAGTGGAGTTGTGCTGTTCCTGCTTCTTCCCCACGTGAGCACTGAGACCAACATAAAATCTGTTGACACTTGATTTGCAATTCCCCAGGAGCCCAGACTTTGAATTGATTGATAGCCAAGTGTGCTTTCTTCATTGTTACGTGGATGTGCATTTCTTGGTGCTTTAATTCATACTAACATGAACATCAGTAAATGTCTTGAATCAGTTTTTTGTGTGTGTGTGTGTGTTTGTTTGTTTGTTTTTTGAGACACTGACTGTTTGCAGAGTATTATTTCTGAAGAAGAATGTCCTATGTGGAGGCTGATAGCTTTTCTCCCTTTCCTTGTTTCAGCTGAACTGGAGTTCGTTCAGATAATCATTATAATTGTGGTGATAACTGTTATGGTAGTAGTGATCATCTGCTTGTTGAACCATTACAAACTCTCGACACGCTCCTTCATCAATCGACAGAGCCAAAGCAGGAGGCAGGAAGAAACTTTGCAGCCGGTGAGTGTAAGCCCCTTCATACCGTTTTCCTCCTCCTGATACACATTGGTCTATTTCAGGGCCTAAAAATGTGTCATGACGTTCTGATTATAAGCAGCCACGCAGAAAACTTTTGGCATCAGTTTTAATGTTCTCTGTAGGGCAATTTGCGTTTGCTGTTTTCTGTATTGGTGAACACCCCCCCCTCCATGCAGTTTTAAAATTTCACCGCACCGTTATTTTTAGTCCTTCCCCTGTTTTATGTAACGGCTTTTTCACACTTTGCCTTCTGTCTGGGGGTGTCAGGATGTGAAACCCTGATACTGCTGCTATTGCAGTTTTAAATGAAGAAGTGGAGATGCAGACCACTTAATATGTGAGGCTTGGAAGAAGATGCTGCTGTAGCTTCCTCTATTGTTTATAATAGCACCATGGAGTTTTGATTTGATTCCTTTTAAGATTTTTAGTTTAAAAAATTGCCTTATAGAAGGCATTCCAACATGGAAAATTTGACATTTTCTCTTTATAGCTAAAACAGGTACAACTGAAGAACTATCAGGACTACAACATCACTGAGAGTTCTGAGGTACTGCAGTTTGGTCCCCAGTATTGCCACAGAGTGGAGTCTGGCAACTGCCTTCATTGGGCCAAAACTCCTGTTGACTTCAAAGGGGACAGAATTCTATGCCAAGAGCTTGACCATAGTGTAGCCCCAGACCCATAGTGTGTGCCTTCTTTGCAAGCACTGCTGGGCTAGGGACAGAAATTACACACAAACTGGTAAAAGTGATCGGAAACTGGTTCAAATCTGTAACACAGCATAACTTCAGTGTACATTAAACAGCTTTTAAAATGGCCAAAATCAGTTTAATATAAACCTGAATGGATGTAATATCAGACTTGATTGATTTAGGTTAAATAGGTTTATTGAACTTTTGTCCCAGTTTCCCTCCAGCTGAGCAGGGCTGCATGCTCTAGCGCCCCCTGGCTTCTGGCCTGGGCCACTGCAGGCATGTGGCTGCATTTTCAGAATAAAAAACGAGTGTCTATTCCCTTGGTGTTACCAGTTTAATTTACGTGGCTTAGAGTAACCTGTGACGATTGAATTGATTTAAGCCTTGGGCTTTTTGGCTTGTCAAAAAGCCTGAGTCTGAATCGATTCAGTCTTTCCAGGTTAGTTTAAACTGCAAAGATTAAATTGAGAAACAACTGGACAGACATTTACCATTGATTCAGGAAATGTAGCCACATTTCTGTAGCGGCTCAGGCCACAAGCCAGGGGGTGCTAGAGCACAGCTCTCTAGCACTTCCTCTTCCTCAAAGTCTCTTGGATTTGCAGTCCAGCATCACAGAAGCAGGACTCTGCAGGGTTGCTCATCACTTCCTCTTCCTGCTTCCAGGTGCCTCTGGGAATTGTAGTCCACAGTTTCAGCCAGCAGTAATTTTTAGTAAGTTTTTAATAGGGCAGCTTCGTACTTGCAGGTGGAGGTGGAATAGGGAGGGGATTAAACCTGGCCCCAGACCCCAGCCAGGGTTTGCTGGGAGTGGGGGTGGGGAGGTGCAGTCCCTGCCTCCCCTTACCCCCCCCCAACCCTTCTCTGCTGGAGCATACAGCACCCCAGCCCAGGGCTGGAAAGCCTGTTGGGATTCTGGGGGACTCTGAACTTGAACCAGGAAGGGGTCTGGGACAGAAGTTTCATAAACTGATTTGACCCAAATCAGTTAAGTCTGATACAGGCAGCAAGGTTCTTCAGGTAGAGGTGATAACTTTTATTAGACCAACTGAGTAGTTGGGGGGGGGGGGGGGCTTGTTACTG